TAATTGTATTTTCTAATATATATATATATATATATAATTAGAACCTAAAAAAAATTGTAAGAATGAGTAACAAGACTAAAAAAAATAATGAAAAATCAAATAATAATAATAATAAAAATCAATAATTTTCTTTTAGAGTGAAATAAATATTTTTAAAGTAAAAATAATATTTGTACAATTAATTAGAAAGTAACCATTTTAATCAACGGATGTCGTAGGATGCTAATATCTTTCCTAAACGTAAATGACTCTCAAACCTAAATTTGATTTTGAAAATTATTTATATTAAAAAAAATTTCAATATTTTTCTTTAATAAACTTTGGTGACAACTCTCTGTAATCGTTGTCCGTCGTACTCATAGTTACGACAATGTATATTCAAATTTTTTATAAAGAATATTAAGTTTTAGTTGTGATATTTATTTTCTCTTCATAATATTTATTATTGTTGTTATATTAGTATTGCAAAGTTTGAAAGTCTTATTTATATATAAAAATATAAAAGAAAATTTTACTAATTTGCTATAATAAGTTTATTATATTCAAAATTTGATGTTTTATTTTAAATGATTAAGAATAAAATATACATCGTACTGATTTTGATTTTAGAATGTTACATAAGACTCTTTGAGTTGATAAAGATATATATGTGTAATTATTTTTTAATTCAATAAATTATATAAAGTTAAAAATAAATGTTCATATGATTAATAAATTAATATTTATTATATTAAAGAAAATACAGTTAAAGACATAATCTTTTAAAAATTTAAAATAAATTATGAAAAAATTTGAATTAAATTAAAAAGTGCCCAATATAAAAATTATGAATAATATATATATATATATATATATATATGTATGTATGTATGTATTTGTAGTTTTATCGATTTTTTTAAAAAAAGCCATTTAAAAGTTGGTAACACGTTTTTTTTTTTTAATTAAGTTTTTATTTGCTATATGTCATGGAGTTTTGTAAATTACATGAAACTATTTAAAAATATTGATAAGGTATAAAATTAAATTTAATTGTATCATTTGTAAGGAAAAATTAATCAAATTACATTTTAGTGTTTATTTAAATTTTATTAAAATTAAATAATTATAAAAATTTATTTAAATAGTGTTTATTTTCATATATTTTTAGAAGTATATAATTATTTAATTTTGTTACACTTGAATAAAATATTAAATAAATTTAAATTAATCTGAAATTTAACACACAATTAATATATATGAATGAAAATTTTATTTTAATAATTAGTTTTACTATAAAATTATTTAATAAAATATTATTAAACAATATAATAATTAGTGTAAGTGACACAAGTGTATTTAATCTTTCTCTAGTTATTAAATATATCCTTCGAATTTATGTATACCTTCAAATAGTTCTTATTATTTAATTTATGAATAATTTTAATAGTTTCTTAACTAAGTTTTAACTAATACTAATGTGTAAGGACTCCATTAAAATAATTTATAAAATAAAATTTGATTTAAAACTTTTAAATTACAAAGGTCTATGTAAAAACTCAGTGAAATTACATGGACTTATAGAGTAATCTAATTTATTTATTTTTTTGCTAGAGTAATCTAATTTATTTATTATTAGGCTTTAATTAGTTTTAAATTTATCATAAAATATGGTAATAAGCAAACCTTGTATTTATATTTTACACAATCCATATATAAACTCATATTACAAAAGTACAAGAAGATTCTTTAATTAACTTTGTAGTTTAGTTTATTGTATTTTATACATATTATTTTTTTTATTTAAATAAAATTTTTTACTTATTTTTATAAATCAATAAAATGTGATACTTTAATTATATTTTTATTAATTAATGGATAAAATTTTGAATTAGAGAACTTAATTTGAACATTTAAAAAACTTGAGATATTAAATGTAATCAATTAAAATTAAAAGGACTAAAATCACACATTTAAAAAATTAAAAATATAAAAATTTCACATTTACAATATTAAAAAAATGAATGTGAGTAGTTAAAACTCAAAGAATTAAAATTATATATACACGTTAAAATATGAAGAGTAAAAGTGCAATTAAACTAATAGATTAAGTTACATGAGACAGGTGTTTGGCCTAATTTTTCTTAATTTTCTTTTCATCAAAGTTGTTAGTTATTTTAAAAATATATTAATTTGTTTAATGAATTTTAATTTATAATGAAATTTAGAAGAGAAAAGGAAAGGAAAGAAAAAGAGTGATCACTTGACGAGAGAGAAAATAAGGCATTTCCATCTTCCCGTATTGAACACTGTTTCTATGGCCCTTCATTTATGGCTAACAATTTGAGAAATTATATTTTTTTAAAAATACAATTATTCAAATAAGAGAAAATACGGAAGAGAAATCCCAATTGTAGTCTGCCAAAGAAATAATTAATTTAACGGTTCATTTGAAAATTTATATCAAATAAATTAATTTTATAAAATTTCATATAAAAATAAAAATAAATAAGTACTTCATTTCATCATTTTATTTTAATGTATAATTTTAAAATATATATATAAATAAATAGAAAATTGTAAATAATGTACTTACAAATATCTAAACTATATAAAATTTAGGTTAATTTTGCATATAAAGATTGATTAAACAGTATTAAAATGTAAGGCAAAGTAACCCTCTTTTTCTATGCAAAGTTAGGCGAAAACAATGCTAAAAATTGGTAGGATAACTTTTGCAGGAGCAATCCAAAAAAAGAGAGTGCTTTAACTTTTTCAGCCATGACTGAATAATGAAATGAAAATAGGGAAAGGGCGTGACATGTTGCAGAAGCAAAGACATAATATCGACATATTAACGAAACAGAGAGGGAGGAATGGAGCAATGGTAGGTAAATTAGAACGGTTAAGGGGTTTGCATGACAACATATTGTCCACACAACACAACACAACGGAAGTGCATATTTAAATAGTCTTGTTTTGTTTTTGTAGGTAAGACATCTTTTCCCACTATGGATGCACGTCATTCCATTCCATCACTGCATTTTGCTTTTCTGACTCTACCTATCACTGCACATTCCAAAGGACTCAAATGCCCTTTGGTGCTCTAAAATGCTTTTCCATTGCCATCCATGAGTATTGCAAACTATTCAAATTTGTAATTTCAAGCCACGCCACACGCCACACGCCACATGCATCAATTCTCAATTCAGTTTCCAGTATCTTTCAACGTATTCCTTCTTCAGGTTTTCCAAATACATTATGGCCTCTCCAACCTCTTCCAACAAATCACATTGATCCCTCTTTCACTTTCCTTGATATCATAATATATGTGATCTTTTTTTTATTTCTTTTTGGAGTAATCAATTGATTTTGTTACTTTTAATTTTTAAGACTGATTTTAAACATTTCAAATTATATATATTTTTAAAAATACTATTCATTACATTTTTATGTTTTTCATGCCATAAGTATTTTTTTAATCAAAATTTGTCATTTTAATTATTACTTAAAATAAATGTTAAAAACGGGTTTTGATGAATTATTTTGAGTAATTATTTTCTTAAAAGTAGTTATAATTTTATGGATTAAAATTTTTTATTAGGATATTTAATGTTAAAGAATTTAAAAATTATCAATTTTATTATAAAAAATTTTAATAGAATAAAATCAAAGAATTCTAAATCTCCTACTAAAAGAGTGTGAGAATTTAAATTTTATTTTTTATTATTTTTATTTATTTATAGTTAATTTAATAATTTAAATATCATATTTTTAATTAATTTTATCAAATTAATGATAATTTTTTAGTGTAGGTAATTTAATTACTCTATTTAAATAAAAAAATATTTAAAATGAAAAATTTCAATTATTGATTATTCTATCTAAATAAAATATTTTAAAATAATAAAAATTTTAATAATATAATTTAAATTTTTAAAAAATTTAAAATTTCCAAAATTTTTATTTACCAGGTTGAAACACAGCCTAAGGTTTAGGCTAATATATTCTACAATTAGCAGTATTTAAACATTAATTCAGAAGGATTTTACTCGCAATAAACTATTTAGCATTAATCTTATTTTTAATGAATAAATATATATTTAAAACATAAAATGAGGAAAAGCTACTAATTAACTAATTTGCATATCTTATTAAAATCATACTTGAATCATCATAAAGCCAATTTACTGCTGAAAATATTATGTTCACTAAATGATTATCTCTATTTTCTTTTAGTCACTTTACACCTATGTAACCTTCTATTCTCTTTATTAATTTCAGAAAAAATAATTTAATTTTTATTTTTAATCACAAAAATTTTAGTTTTAATTTAATTTTTATCTTATTTTTAAAGATTTGTATAAGAAATAGTATAAATAAATAAACATTTCAATATTTTCTGTATAAACATTTAAAATAAAAAAGATAATAAAAGTAAAATAATTTTATAGTTAGTTAAAAATAAAAAAGAATAAAATAGAAAATATTTCTCAAAACTAAACAGCCCTCCAATTTTTCAAATAATTAATAGGTACTCAAAATAAAGGTGACAGTCATTTCCACATAACTATGCTTGTATTTGTTACATGATAATGTTTTTAAATCTCTAATAGCATTGACAATATTTTAAAACTCTTATAAAAATCTCAAACCTTACCATAGTTGGGTTAGATTATTAATTTTATTTTTAGTAACATAGATTATTTTAACTTGATTAAAAAAATGGAGTTTGAGTCCTGTGAATATAACTATATTAGAAAAATTCAGAAAACAAAACTTTGGCACCCATCATAATTTTCCGAAATTAATGAGATAGTGAATGTTGACATTTGAATTCTCGTGGTGGGATAGCAAAACATTTAAGCTTGATATGGTGTCATAGGCTGTTTAAGATGCTCACGTTTTGAGCCTCTCAGAGTGGCTTTTATTTTCTTTCCTTTTGTCTTTTATATATGTAGTGCAATCTTAATTCGATCCAAGGAACAAATATCATTGGACAAACTTTTTCCCCTTTTAAATAACAATCATTAAAACATTTCTCAAAGACTCATAGCTACCACCAACAGTTACCTTATTCCTACACCACCCTTTCTCTTCATATTCACTAACTTGTGAAAGTTCTAAATTCCCACCAATGATGAACTTCCAAGCTTGTTCAACTACAATCTCAAAGTTGTTTTGTGTTTGTGTGCTTCTTGTACCAACCATGGTCTCATGTGAGTGCACATGTGACACAGAAGAAGTCAAAAGGAGTGAACCAATTGAAGTTCTTCATTACAAAATTGGCTCAATCGCTTCTGTTCTTGTTTCTGGTGCTCTTGGAGTGAGTCTACCATTGTTGAGCAAGAGAATCCCAACTTTGAACCCCAAAAATGATATATTTTTCATGGTTAAAGCCTTTGCAGCTGGTGTGATTCTTGCAACTGGGTTCATTCATATACTGCCTGAGGCATTTGAAAGCTTAACTTCACCTTGTCTTAAGGAAAATCCATGGGGGAAATTCCCCTTTACTGGATTTGTTGCCATGCTGTCCTCTATTGGAACCTTAATGGTTGATTCGTTTGCCACTGGGTATTATCATAGGCAACATTTTAACTCATCAAAGCAAGTTCCTGCTGATGAAGAATTGGGAGATGAACATGTTGGTCACATACATGTTCATACTCATGCCTCACATGGTCATGCTCATGGATCAGCTACCTCTTCTGAGAGTTCAATAACATCTGAATTAATTAGGCAGCGCATCATATCACAAGTAAGATCATGAGTTGTTGATATGCAATCTTTTTTATTTTCATTTGTTGAATTTATTGTTCAGTTTGGATTGTTGGTTTTTTTGTGTTAGGTGTTGGAGATAGGAATAGTGGTCCATTCAGTGATCATTGGAATATCTTTGGGAACTGCAGGGAGCATTGATACCATAAAGCCTCTCCTAGCGGCCTTGTCTTTCCATCAATTTTTTGAGGGGATGGGGCTTGGTGGTTGCATATCTCAGGTATTAAGCAATTTGATTGGTATAATATCATAAATATCACATGCTCATTACAGAAAGACTAATAATAATCATGTATATAAGTTAGACAGAAATTTAATTTTTTTATAAGGATTTTTTTTTAAATGTATTGAAGCATCACTCATATATAGATATTAGTAAAGTTAAATATTTAGATATTTTTAATATCAACAGTGGTCTTCCTCATATCGTTGTTATTATCATCAAATCATATATGGGGTTTAGAAAATAGGTAAAATAATAATGGAGTTGAATAATTCATTTACTATTATGATTAAGTATCAAGCAGAAGAAAAAAAGTGAGTTGTGCATGTCTTTTGCGCAGTTTGGAAAGTAGAATGGCATGCAAAATGTTGCCATGATGACAACATCCTTATACTTTTCTTTTTATCTAACCTTTTAGCTGAGAAGAAAGAAAGAAAGAGAAAGAGAAAGACCAAACAAACAGTCTAGTGAATTAATACCTGCTTTTGGGTCTCCACATTACATTATTATTCAAATAAGTTTAAAGTTGATCATTAGGTTACAATACAAAAAGTCTGTGTATCTATCTATGTATCTATATATATATATATATATATATATATATATATATATAATTTTAATGAGGTTCTAATGCTAAATAGAAACTATATTGTGGCAGGCAAAATTTGAGTCCAGGTCAACAGCAATTATGGCGACCTTTTTCTCCCTGACAACTCCAATTGGGATAGCAATTGGAATGGGAGTGTCAAGTGTGTACAAAGAGAATAGCCCAACTGCTCTAATTGTTGAAGGGGTTTTCAATTCTGCATCTTCTGGAATTTTGATTTACATGGCATTAGTAGACCTTCTAGCAGCAGATTTTATGAACCCAAGGTTGCAGAACAATTTGAAGCTCCATCTTGGAGCAAATATTTCCCTTCTTTTGGGTGCAGGTTGCATGTCTCTATTAGCCAAATGGGCTTAAATTTTTGGTGTTTTATTTTCATCACTCAGCAAAATTCACCCTTTTTATGCCCTGTTGCTTACTCCCTTGAGTTTCTTTTCAATTATTCATTTTAAAAGTTAGTATACAGGTTAAAAAATATAATTGATATCATTATTTATACCAAAGTGATTATTAATTTTCTCATTTATTATAAATATAATTTGTGAATTAAAAGAAAAAAATGATATAATTAAAAATTAAGAATTGAAGAGAGAGAAAGAAAATTTTCTATCCCTTCACTATTGGAATTTGTGTGTCCTTTTTTAACAGTGTCCTACACCAAAATATACACCGCAAGTAAGGGAAGCCAGAAATGCAGTTTTATGCGCCTACGTAATTAGGACCTTTTACATAATATTAAAAAGGAATGGGAGGAGAGAATTGGATGCTTTTTCAGTCATACTCTCCAATGATTGATTATGAGAAACACAAACGTAAAATATCCAATAAATTTTTTAAAATACAATCATATTTTTTTAATAAACTAAACTAGACAGTGGATTTTGTGGATTATTAAATTTTTATCTTATTAAAAATTTGAACTTTCTTAATGCTTACATTTTATATTTTTAAGGTGAATAAGCTAATCTTTCTTATGTGATTTTTTAATTTGTATTTCTTCATATTTTATTTATAGTCACAAATACCTATAAAAATACAGATATTAATGTATAGCATTTTATTAAGAAGCCCTTGCAGTTGAGTTACAACTTTAAAATATGATAAACAAATATAATGTTTTGAAATTTATCTTTATTATTTTTACAGTTACATGTATCAATTTTAGAAAACACAAAACAAAATAAGAATAAAGTAACTTTTTCTCTAAATTATTCATTAAAATACCTATTATTTTATTTATTTTAATTAATAAAATAAAAATTTATATAATACAAAACTAAATAATACTATATCGAATAACTTTATTAAAATATCCAAAATAATCCTTAAAAGTGACACTTTGTTTACCTTTGGTCTTTAAAGGTTAGCTTTATACAGTTTAGTCTTCAAAAAAACGTGTTAATTTATCCACATTTTAGTCCTCTAGGGAACTAATTAATACTTAAAAGTGTCAAAATTTGCAATTTATTTTGATCTTTGACTATGTTAAACTTTCTTATATTTTACTCCTATTTTGCTTAATTATTTTTTAGAGAAGAACTGAAATATAAATAAGTCAACATATTTAAAAACTAAATTATATCAAACAAAATTTTCAAGGACTAAAAGTACGTAAAATACTATTTTCTCAATTAGCTATGGCGTATCTTAATCTCCACCTATTTCAATACTTGCAAAATGAACAAATATAATTTTATGACAATTTTATATAAAATTAAACAATAATCAAATGCTTAACATTTTTATAAAATAAAATAAATTTAAAATGTTGAAATAGTATTTATTTTAATATTTTTGAATTTTATTTACATTTTAATATAATATGAAGTGTATTTAAAAATAGGAATAATATACATATTTGTAAAATTAAATATATTTTATTTTTAAAAATTGGCTATTTACTTAATTTATTATTTATAATAACTATTATTTATACCTAATATAAATATTGATTCATAACAAATTTCAGAATACAAAAATCATTATTATTGGAATTTATAAGTATATAAAAATCTAAAGTGAATATTTACTTAATATTTTACTTATTTAACTTATAATATATTTTTTACGATATATAATATATGAATTTATGCTCTTTTAAATGAAAAAAAAATATATAATTATTATATATTATCATGTATAATTAAAATAAAAATATAAAAATTACGTAATTTTTTAAAAAATAACGTAACTTTTTCATATAATTATGTAACTTTAAAAGTCTTTTAATTTTAATCATTTATGTATAATTATACTACCTAAATTTATTATTCGTGTTTTCACAAGAGATTTTCACTTAATACAACGTCTAATAAACGATACATACATCATTCAAATACAATGTTAGAATTATATCAGGTAATAACTCGGACAGCAGGTTAAAGATAACTAAATAAGAAAATTGACACTGATTATTAATCACAATTAAGAAGTTAAATGCAAAAATTAAAGTATTGTTTATTTTAACAAGTATTTTTATTTTTATTTTAATTATAAATTGTTATGTTATTTACATTTTTTTAAAAAAAATTGGTAAAAGAACGATAAAAAAAATTAAATCTGTTCACTATTTTTATAACTCTTTAAAAATAAGAAATAGAATAAAAATGAGATAATATTTTTATAATTAAAAAAACATTTTTGAAAACCAAACAATCTCTGAATTCTTGATATCAATTTATAAAAAAAAAAAAAAACAAAGTTTAATAGTCAGATAATCATTTTCTTAAAATATTATTGTAGTATTAACAAAGTTTTAATACATTTATATTTGTGGAATGTGGAGCAAGGTCAAAATACAATGAATTTATACCCATTAGCAAAATATTAGAAAAATAAGTAGAGAACAAAAAGATATAAAAGTGGAATAAAAACTGTGATTACGAAGCGTGTGGTTAGTCAGAGGCCACTCACTCAACAGAACAAGTTCTTGGATCCTAAAATAAAAATTTGTAGAAATTTTAGTTTCCCCAAAAGAACAAGAACATGAACATGGTGCCTCAACAAAAAATGATACCTAAGCCAATTTGACCCTAGAAAACTAGGATAATTAAATGATCATGACGTGCATAAATAAAAATGCATCATCATGAACCTGTTGAAACCACTTTTCAGTAAAATTGACCACAAACTTAGTCCATGATTTGACTATAGAATCGACATAGATAGATTAAAGGTTTTAATTTTTCTCTTGTGCTTATTCTTGTCCATCTTGGGTACGTATTTTAATGGAAAAAAACCCATTTGTCCCATGCCAAAGCCCTTGAGGGTCAAAGCATAAAAAAACTGTGTCCATTCCAATGTTCTGGTTATTATGCTAATGCTATTTGGCCTCTTTATAAAAGTACTTGCCTCCAGTTATTATCCCTGCAATTGGAATATCTAACCAAGGCATCAATCTTGGAGAATACCATGCTGTCTCCGATTTGGCAATTTCTCATCATGCAACCCATTATAAATGTTTGAACAGCACTTTTAATTGTACATGTTGAATTTGTATCAAGGGGCTATAAGTTTTGACCTGAGGGATTTTATTTTTTTATTTTTATTTTAGATAGTCACTTTGTTAAAATTATCTAATTTGAGTATTCTTTTATACTTTTTTAATTTTAATTAATGTGATATTTCTCCATTTTTTAATGTTCTTGTTTAAGTTGTTTTAGTTGTGGCTTGTACGTTAACTTTTAGATTGAACTTGTGTTTCTTTTATATTTAGTTTTAGAGGGCACAAATTATGACATTTGCTTAAGTCTTTTTTATTGGGCTATTTTTCTCAATTTTCTTTCTTTCTTTCTTTAACTTTCTTCTCATTTTATATGGTGTGTTTACCTTTGCATGACCTAATATTTAGATTTGTTTCTTTCATGGAAATTGGATTTGGTTTTTGCACAACTCTAATTATATATTTGGGATTGGCTTTTCGCATGGCTTCTAATATGAAATTTTACAATTGTAATTTACTAATTTTGTTATTTGATATTCATACCTTTCGATGGCCAATAAGTGGAATAAAGAAAAAGATTTGCAGAGAAAGCAAATATTACTCAAATTTCATCCATAATCGTCTTTGAACCTTGGAAGACGCGTAGGAAGTCCCAAATTTATCTAGAATATACCTTTGAATAACCTTACATTTAGATTTCTTTCTCTCCCAGCTCTATTTAGATTTGCTTTTTTCACAACTTTAATCACATATTCGAGATATGCTTTATTCCACGGCTTCTAATATAAAATTTTAGAATTATAAAAGTATTTGACAATCATTTAAATAAAGTTAAAATATAAAACCACTAATTTTAGCTAAAATTTTACATAAGATTAACAATATTTTAAGAAAAATTAAATGTATTAATTTTATTGTCAATTGAAAATTAAATATACATATTATAACAACTTAAAAAATAATGTGAATAGTAATAATAAAACGGATCAAATAAGTTGTGATGATTTGATAATTTACGAGCGATGAACTTTATTATAAAAAAAATTGAGATTTATTTTTTTAAAAGCTGTTTTATGTTTTATTATATAAAATATTTATTATTTTATGTAAAATTTTTCTCACGTACTCAAAAGACATATTATTTGATAAATTAATTTAATAAGTGATAAACTAGTTTATTTGATAATTTTTCTATAAATTGTCATTCAGAAGCAGTTGCTATTTTATTTTTATTTTTCTTTTCTTTTTCTCTCTTTTTTTAAAAAAAAAAAACTCCATCATAAAAGTTATACGGAAATAAACGCTAAGCCAGCTCTGTTTTGATTCTTCCAATCAATCGTTTAAGAATTAAAAAAGAAAGAGTAAAAAAGAGATATGAATCAAAATAACCAAAATGCACCGTTCACTCATTGGGGTGTGAACAGATGCATCCAAATGCTAAGTTATGAATCTGACCATCAGAGACACGCTTTATCACCGAAGCAAAGGAAGATGCCAATCAATATTTCAGAGAACTACTCTAGTTAGCCTCTTTCTTTAAGAAACACTTTTTTTTTAATAATAATTATAAAAATATATTACTTTATTTTCTGTTTTAAATAGTTTATAAAAATAAATCTCTACAAAATTTGAAAACAAAATAATAACTTTATACTTAACTACTCTTACGTGTGATTTATTATTCTTAAATAGGACATTTTTAAGACTTACTTTTATTTTTAGTACTTTTCTAGTATTAAATAATTTAATTATTAAATCTTTATACTTGTATTAAAGGAAAGATATATTTCCTTTTTAAATAAACTAAATTTTAAGACAATTAATATCTTAATTAATCATAATTTAAATTAATTTTAAATTTCTGTATACTATATCAGCAAATATGATATTTTAATTTTAATTTTAATTTTATTTCTTCAGTTTACTCCTAAATTTTAAAAGTCCCATTTCATTAATTTATTACTATTTAATATAATAAATTTTTAATTACTAACAACAATATTTTTCTTTTTAATTTAGGTTCATTTCCTCAATTAAAACACGTGTTAAACTTGTAAGAGTGTTTTCATGGCCACAGTGAAAACAACAAATTTTAATTTTTGTGACAGAGGGGTAAAGGTTCACACGAACACGAAAACAAGGATGAAGCAATAAATGCAGATCTTCAGATTCCAAACAAGAAACTTTCACACCAAATTCTTTTATTTTTTCCTAATTATCGCGCTGACTCTATAAGACTATAACTCATGTAATGTTATTATTAAAAAAAATCATCATAAAGGTGACCAAATACTATATTAGTCCCACTAGTATGTCACATCACCAATCTCTCTTTTTCCTACTACAGACAATTTCTCTCCTTCCTTTTCCTTGAAAAGATCACCCTGAGTTTTAGGTTCTTCTTTTGTTGTTTTTGGTCGTGAGTTTTTAGGCTCTAAACATGAGGCATTGTCTCACTAATGTAATCCCAGTACATGGTAAAACCTAAAGCACACTTTCCTTAAAGTATCTTCACTGGTATAAAGAGTTGGAAAACCACATTGGAAGAACAATCAGTGAACTTTTGGTTAGACAGAAATTTCGGATGCACTTTGTAAAGTTGTTACAAGAACATACGAGTGACACATGATATTTCCTCAACATATGTTTACAATAAATTTTTTTCTTTATTTTTTGTATCACATTATCCATCTTACCTTCCTGTATTCTCTCTTCTCTCCTTGTCATGCTTCTTTTTTTTTTTTTTTAATTTGTATCAAAGATTATACAATTTTATTGTACAATTAGCATTTCTCAAGACATACACTATACTATACTACACACAAATCACACGGCCACTCTGGTTGATTTTTCAAAATAACACACATTTAAAAACAAATTACTAAAATAATGTTGTGTTGAATGCCAACTAGGAAAGACAACTTCTATTCATGAATGCCAATTGGGATTTATAACCTCAACCCATATTTTGCTTGCATGTTTAACTAAGAATTAGCATGTTGCTAATGCCTTCTTCCTGCTAATGGTTATTGACTAACCAACCAAACCAATCCTCTTCCTCACGCCACAACTAGGGGAAGTGTTAGTGTTTCCATGAGAGAGCTTTGAGTAGAAAACAAGCAAAAGAAAAAGGGTATAAAAAACCAAAGTTTCATCTTTTCCAAGGGCGAAGCAAGCATATATACCAGCATGAAATGAACTTAAAAAAACTCCCAGAAAAGGACATTGTTGAGCCGGTGAGCTAATTCCCATAAAATACACACATTTGTGACACTTTTATCTGCACTTTTGGCATTCCTTCATGCACACAACTCCAACCAAAGATGACTGTGCATCAAACTTGTGTCACCCAAAGAATCAATCTTTATCCCAAACAGAACCACTTGTCCACTCTTCCTTTAGTCAGGGCAATTTCATGCACCTCTTCAAGTTCTTCATTTATATTATATAAAAACCTCTCATTGTTCTTCCTTTGGGGTCTTTCAGTGCACTGGAATTGGAGTGCAACAGTGAAGCCATAATCAAAAGGCTCACTTATCTTGTGGCATTGCAGTAACCAAAAATTGCCAGTGGGGTCATGGTGGTCATGGAAACCATCAGAGTGAGAATGAATGTTGGGATACTTCTCCTCTATCTGACTTTGGCTGCTATTTCCCTCACTCATTGTGGTAAGCATCCTTTGGCTAAGAGTAAATAGGTCTCGTCCCACATGCTTTTCTTTGTTTCTTCCCTTTTAATTTTGCTCTTAAACAAAAGGGGGAAATGTACTAACTTTATCATCCCAATTAATCCCAAATTTTAAATTCATAGCTGGATTTAATTAACCATGATCATGCATAAATGGGTCAAATGTGGAAGTTGTATAAGCATTTGCTTGTTAGATGGAATGCATCTAGAAGCATGATTATAGCAGTCCACAATTTTGTGTCATAAGTCATAATCAACTCAAGCAATAAGGCATCAGAATGTATAAACAACTGCATTATAGTATTATTGAGATCAAGCAAATTTTGAGTGGCAACAAGTTCATGGCTCAAAAACCTCTTTACTTTCCCCATTTCAGATGCAGTTAGATCAATGAGACTATTGAAAGGCCCAAAACATAGAAGAAATATAGTCAACAAGAATCCAAAAAAATTGAAAATGGTTAAGCATTTAGATGGAAATCCAACCATATTCTCATCAAATGCACAACCCTATAGTGTTAGCTCCCCATTCTCTTTGCCTCCTTATGAATCACTAGCTCCAATCCCATTGCCAGAAAATAGTCCTCCATTTTGTGTGTTTCCACCACCTAATAGTGATACTCCTTCAACCACCTTTCCAACACCCACAGGCTCCCAACCAACAATACCATCACCTCCTTCCTATTACATTTCACCACCTTCAACCCCAATAATTATAATACCAGGCCCACCAGGCTTTTTACCCACACCAACCCCTGAAATTGTTCCAGGCCCACCTACTAACATACCGGGCTCACCTGAACCTGTAACGAATCCTCCCATCATCATTCCAGGCCCACCTGAGCCCTCAATGGGCCCACCTTATTTTGAGCCCGGCCCACCTTACTTTGAGCCCAGCCCACCATTCATCCCTTCCCCTTCAGGTGGAACAATCCCAAGCCCACCAAGCTATGTTCCAAGCCCAACAGAAGGCACAGTTCCTAGCCCAACTGTGTTTCAGCCACCTGTGGTGTACCCACCACCAAGTGTGCCACCACCACCCAACTATGCCCCAAGGGCCACCTTGTGGTGTGTGGCTAAGCCTTCAGTCCCAGACCCAATCATTCAAGAGGCCATGAATTATGCTTGTTGGTCAGGAGCAGATTGCACCTCAATTCAGCCCAATGGGCCCTGCTATGAGCCCGACACCGTATTTGCACATGCTTCATATGCTTTCAATAGTTACTGGCAAAGAACTAAAGCTGCTGGTGGCAATTGCGAGTTTGGAGGAACAGCCATGCTGGTTGCAGTTGACCCTAGTGAGTCCTACAATTATAAAATAGATTTGTATTCTTTATTTTGATTAATTAAACTTCTATGGTTTATTTAAACTATATTTAACTTACTTTGAAAGAATAATTATATATTTTTAGTTTTAAAAATAAGTTTTTATTATTTTTTTAATGTTTTTGGACCCTTTATTTTAATTTATGCATAGTTTTAATTTTAATTATTCACATATAATATTTTTAGTTTTTCATTGTCTTTTCATTTTAAAATCTCATCCAATAAATAATAGAAGTGTGACAAATCATTGGTTTGTTTAAATTACCAAAGAAAAATATATATAATATTTAAATACAAATAATAGCAATATGTATAAAATGAAATGAAAGTCATTTTTATATTTATTAAATTATTTTATATATTTTTTCGTTTGAGAATTTATATAAGTTAGTGATTATCACACGTGTATTTTTAATGAAATTTTAGGGTAATGAACATAATTTAAATAATCAATAAATTATAAAATTTAACTGGGAGAAATTAAAATTAACATACCCAAATCGCAGGTATATTAAAACATAAAAGTTAAAAATGTAATTAAGTTTAAGAGATGAAGCTTTCTCTTAAAGTAATCAAATTTAAACTTGCACTAAACTAAAGAACTTCATATCTGACTTAAGTTTTATTTGAGTAACATTACATTTTGTCATCACTAATGCTGCTTTGTTTTGCTTCTCAACAGGCTACGATGGGTGCCGCTTCATCTCCAACTAATCAAAGCAATTTTTATTTTTATTTTTGTCTTTCTTTGGTACAAAGCAACTTTTGGAACCCACCAATGTTTGAAGAGTGAAGACACTCTTGCTATTATAATCTTTCCCCTTTTTTCCTTGTGGAAATAAGTTATGTATGTATGTCACAGTGAATTACACAAAAAAGATTTTGTATTTTGTAAGTAATGCATAACACTACCATTGACTTGTAGTTTCATTGTCACTGTTTAATTAAATTAACTCCTTTTTAGCACCCTCCAGAAAAAATCCCTTTACACAAATATTAATCAACCTTGTCTTTTCTACCTCATATGCCTAATTTGTATATTTAAAGAAAATGTAACTAAGTTTATTTTCAATCATGCATCTTACAATTATCATCAAATATTTATTACAATTGGTACAGATTAGTTTCAAGTGCGAAAGCAATGAATCGCCAAATTATACCGTTTCTTCTACAACAATATTATTATTAAAAAAAAAGGTAATTAATATCTGTAAGGTTAATATAAATCATGCATTTGCAACATAAGATAAATTAACTCCCTTATGAAGAAAAAAGAAGTCAAACTAGGAGCTTGTTTGTTTTCTCTTTTAGTTTTTAAATTAAAAAATAGAAAAATATGTTTGTTAACGTAAGTTTTAAAAACTATTTTTGAAAATTAATTTTTATTTTCAATTTTTAAAACTGAAAAATAAAATTGCTATTTATACTATATTTAGAAAAAAAATAAAAAATTCTTTTTAAACTAACTATATTTAGAAATCAAACATACTCTGTTTTATTTTTATTTTTCTGTTTTTTTTAAACTAACAAAAGTCTAACTAAAAACAGTTTTAAAAACTAAATCATCAAACAAAATTTATTTTATTTTTTTAAAAAGTTTTATAAAATTGTTTTAAAATATAATTTTTAAAAATTTAAAATCAAAACTAAATCAAACAGATTGTTTTATTTATTTTTTTGGGTGTTTGAAGTCAAAAAAATAGTTCTAACTTTGCACTTTTGGCATTCCTTTGAGGACTGCTGTCATTTGGGGTTTTCATCCGACTTGAATTTTCCATGTCCAAAGAAACTTACATTAACTATTCACCTGATGTTTACTTTTTATTCTTTTCACTTCTTACAATGAAAAATTATATTTTACCTCTTTATATGTTTTATTATGTGTAATTTAAATTTCAACTTTTAAAGTATGTAACACAATGTCACATATTTTTAAAAATATAAAAAATATTTTATTTAGAGTTTAGAATTTAAATCTTTAAAAATATTTTTGTCTAACAAATAAATAAATTAGATGGCTAAGTAATGAAAAGATTTTTTTTTTACACACTTTTAAAAATAAGGGAACATTACATTGTACATTTGCAAAAATCAGATTATTTTCCTAAAAGAAAATCATGTTAAATTTTAGTTAAACTGAATCCTAACAAGATTCAGAATAATTGAGAAAGAATAAATTAGCCCCTGAACTACATGTATGTTTGATTTCTGTTTATTGCAATTCAATTTTCTGTTCAGCGCATGCGTTAATTTTTCATAAATGTTTATTACTAGTTTATGATTGAATAAAATAAAATTAGTTATATAATAAGGTCTGTACAAATTTGGAAAATTTTCTGAATATATTTAACACTTGTGTAAAATTTGGTTTTGAACTAGTTTAATAACATACACTGTTTTTTTTCTTCTAAATATGTTTACTTTTTAAGAAGTATATTCATATAATTAAAATAAAGAAAGAAATTGATAAATGCAATTCCAATATAAAATAATTAATTTAAATGCACATTACATTTGATTTTTAAATGTTTTTATATATTTTTATTAGATTTGATTTTTGTTTCTCATTTTTTGTTTTACTTTATAATTTTTTAAATTCAATATTTTTATTCCTAATAATGATATGATCTAGCAAAAAAAAAAAGACTAGTAACATAAAAATAATACATCACAACCTGTTAGTAATCAGGTCATTACCAAAAATTAAAAAATTAAAAATTAAATTTTAAAAAATTAAAATTAAAATCAATTAATTCTTTAAGAAAACTAAATCAAAATATTAGAAAAAGGAGACAAATATATATATTTAACCTTCAATTATTTATTGTTTTGATTCATGTATCGGTTGGTGATATTGATATATACGACAAAAATGACATTGTTGATAGTGATAAACTATTAACTAATATAGAAAAATTGTGATTAGCAGAAATATTTATTGTATGACTACGAGATTCCATGATTTCCAACGCCCACTAATAATAATTAAATTCAATGATGTATCAACCAAAATAATAATAATAAAAATAATGCAAATATATCAATTTAAATAAAATAATAAAAGTAAATTTGCTTTCTAGTTTTTTCGTAAAACCAAAAGTAACTTGATCGATAACTCCAAGGAGAAAACGCATGCTGGACTTAATAATAATAAAATCTCAATATTGACAACCTTTTTAGCCCAAGCAATGGTTAAGGTTTTTTTTCCATCCATTTGAAAACAAGATTAACATCACTTAAGCTTATAGTTTAGTTAAGGTGAATGTTACTTTTGTCGAAGAAAAAAAGTTAATATTACTTTTGTTTTGCATAAATTTATAATTTATTTACGAGTTTATAAATTTTTTTAATAAATTAATATATTTATTGAATAAACAATAAAAGAGAGCTTAAAAATTTTAAAAGCTAACTTCTAATTTTTAAAAATGAACTTATGAAAAGTCACTCCAAATAATATTCAACATATTAAAAATTAGCATTTAATGTTATTTTTTATTCTTAATATTTGAATCAGGTTAAATAATAGAAGTTATATGAATTAATCCATTTAAACCCAATCTTCAAATTTGTTTCGTGACTTTCCTTTTATATTAGACTAATTCTGGCTGGACAATTTTAGCATTTATATATTTAGTATTACATAGATTTTTATGATAATAATAAATGACTACAATCATGTAAATAATATAATTTTTAATATGTGTTACAGTGACATAATCATAGTATGATTCTACATTATTTGTATTTATATACTATAAAATTACCGACATATTTTATCATGAGATATATAATATTCTTTTTTGTTGTTACTTTATCGGTACAAATATTGATTTAAACAATTAAAATTTTTGTTACAGATACACTACCTATTCTATCATCATTCATCAACTTATGACTACTATATGAAAAATATAATCTCTTATGATTATGCATCTTAAAATCTACGTGAAAAACATGACATTAAGACCGTTATGAAAAAATGTAACTTCTTGAAGTTATTTTTAAAAATTGTCTTAGAACTATGTCACGAAGAATACAATTTCTTATGTTACAAAAACTATCTTAAGACCTTGCAAAAAGTTCAAGCTCAAATTTAGGATGTTGTGAAGAGTATGAGCTTGAATTACATGAAAAATGTACTCCTAAGATCATATAAGTTCATGTGAAAAAAAAATAGCATTTAGGATCACTATGTACATAGTTGCACTTAATTGTCTTTAACATCCAAAAGTTAAAGCAAATCATTCTAAGACATTTTAATCCTACAACCATAAGTGTGAAAGAATAAAGTATATAAAATTATTGAGCACTTGTTAAAACATTCCTAGTCTTACTGTGAAAGTCACAAATTTCAAAAGACATGAGTCACTAATAAAGTTTCATGAGTCTCGCTATCCTATACAAGAGATTTAGCAAATAAATATTTATGCAAGATCAAGAACTTAGACCTATATTATAGCCTTAATTACAACATAATCTTGGAGTAATCTTCATTTATAAATAAGGAAATATCAAATACACAAACAATATAACAAATCAAGATCAATTGAAAGAGTAATAATAAAATGCGCAACTCTAGTAATTGGTATGCATATTGCAATAACCTCAAATAGATCATAGTCAATTATTACTTTAGGCACATTATAATCAATCTTTGACCGCAAATGAAATTTTTGTTCTCAACTTAAATAAATGGAAATATAAATATTCAAATAAAATATTTAGTATAATCGAACATAACTTATCACATCTCTATGCCAATCCACTAAACTAAGAGGAACGTAGATTTAGAGTAAATTTAAATTCAATTTTTAAAGTTGTTTTATAACTCTACTTTTATATTAGATCAATTCTTAACTTGTAATTCGATAAGCATTTATATTTGTATATTTGACATTTTATATAAACACTTGTTAAAATAAAATAAAATCATAATTATGAATAACACTTGTAATCATAAAAATAGTAGAATCTTTGATAATTTTACAATGTTAACGCAATTCTTGTATCATAATTGTTATCATGTTTGTAACTTGAATATTAAAATTCCTTTTGCTAGTATATTTTTTTATATTAATTTTTAAATTTACATAATAACATTTTTTTATAAAGATATGATCTTCTTACACTAGTGTAAGTTTAAAAATTTTTATACTCTATTTGAGTCAACTGTTACATGTAAGTTAAATAAAAAATTCATATCAAGTATAAAGTTTTTAAATTTACACTAGTGTGAAAAGATTATTCTCCTCTTTTACATGATTAAGTTTTTGTTTTGTAAACTAAAAAATATATTACATCAAGTATTTGTACAAAAATATATCAAATCATGTAGTACAAGTTGTAATCATAGAAATAACATTAGGATAATGAATTAGTATATAAGTTTTTTTTTACATAAATAAATTTTAATTAAATCAAAATTAAGTAATATATTAGAAATATTTTTTTAATAAAAATAATATTTAGATAAATTTTTGAATAACTATTTATAAGAATGAAAAATTAAGTTGTAAAATAAATTGAACTTTTTTATAAATTAAATGAATTTATGTTTTTTAGAATTTTTATTTAATAATTTTAGACTTGAGAAGTATATATTTTTATAACCTACTAAAAAAATATTTATTTTATATATTATTGTTTTTTATTTAAACTTATCCACTTTTTATGAAGTGCACCAAATTCCTTATGCTTCCACAATGACTTATTATTCTAATACAAAAATGGTGAAAGAGTGTAGGAGCTGATTCCCTTTCTACTTATCGGCTATAAAATCCAATCAAGATTTGATTTTCACGCATCATCTCCAGCTCATAAAGCGCAAACTCCACATCACTGCTAATAAACCATAAGTACTTTTATTTTTATTTATTTTTTTAAAACCCTAAAACCGGGAAACTCTATCTGAACCCTCTTTCTCCGGCAGCCAAAATGGACTTCACTCCGCCACCAATCGAAGACGGTTTCACGGCGGAGAAACTCTTCAACCAAGGCTTCTCCTACACCTACGACGACGTCATCTTCCTCCCTCACTTTATCGACTTCGCCGCTGACGCCGTTAACGTCTCTACGCACCTTACGCGCCGTATCCCTCTGTCCCTCCCCTTCGTCGCCTCTCCGATGGACACAGTCTCCGAGTCCGCCATGGCCGCCGCCATGGCCTCCCTCGGCGGCATCGCCATCATTCACTTCAACACCTCTCCCTCCTCTCAGGCCTCCCTCCTCCGCGCTGCCAAGTCCCGCCGCGTCCCCATCCTCTCCGAACCCGTCTTCTGCACCCCCGCCACTGTCGTCGAAGACAACGAGGTCTTCGGGGGCTCCCCCTTCCTCCTCGTCACTGACACGGGCAATGAAAAAGGAAAGCTCCTCGGCTACGTCGCTAAAAATGACTGGACGAATGGAATCGACAAGAGCGTGAGAGTTGGTAATTACATGTCAGCGCCCCCGGCAGTTGTGCCGTGGAAAGCTGACTTGGCACAAATTGAGGAAGTGATGATGAGTGAAAAGAAAAATGCAGTGGCATTGGTGAGGGATGATGAAGTGGTGGATTTGGTGTTGGAGGAAGAGGTGAAGAGGGTAAGAGGGTATCCGAGGTTGGCGGCGGCGGGGTCGGTGGGGCCGGATGGGGAATGGATGGTTGGGGCGGCGATAGGGACGAGGGAGGAGGATAAGGAGAGGTTGGAGCATTTGGTGAAGGCTGGAGTGAATGTGGTTGTGTTGGATAGTTCTCAAGGGAACTCAATTTATCAATTGGAGATGATAAAGTATATGAAAAAGGTGTATCCTGAGCTTGATGTGATTGGTGGGAATGTTGTGACTATGTACCAGGCTGAGAATTTGATTCAGGCTGGTGTTGATGGGTTAAGGGTTGGTATGGGGTCAGGGTCTATTTGTACTACCCAAGAGGTTTGTGCCGTTGGGCGCGGGCAGGTATGATTCATTGTTCACTGTTTAGTTTATGTTAACCTTACCATCAAATTTAAATGTGTGTTTTTTGGTTAGTGCAAATTTTCAAGCAGGTATATGAGAAACAACAACTAGTTGCTTTTTGGGGAATGCATGTTGGGTTCTTTCCTAATGGAATCTCAACATGCTGTGGCTTGTTGTGTTGACTTTGCTTGTGATGAGTTTTTGATATATTCTTAAGTTTTGAATTGGCTTGTGTAAGTGTGGCTAGGGTTAGAGCTCAGTGGATGCTTGAGGGTTGGCTTGACTGTTAGGATTGAAAATGTTGACCTTGCTAATGGTCTTTTGTGCGAAGGTTAGGTCATCTACGGTTACCACTGTATGCGCTTGATGGGGTTTGTGTGGCATACCTGACCTTGGATTTTCCTAAAGGGATCTTTGGTTTGAGGAAAATGTTTGTATATATGCAAGTTTTGTTTTTTTTTTTTAATTCTTGTGCATGAATATTTTGTGCTACTTTTATCGTTACTTGAGCAAATATATTTGAAAATGGGAGATGAGGTGTAAACAAGGAGTATTCTTTGATTGTTACCGAGAATGGAAAATATTTTCTTAAATTAAAGAGGCCCCATCTTTTCTAACACAGTTAAAGGATAAGAGATCAATTGCTCTTTAGTGCCTCGAAAATTTGAACTATTTGTTACAGTTAACTTTAGATAAAGATGATTTTCTCACTTATTGAATGCAAGCGTTTTTTGATAAGCTTATGTATAGATTTTTAAGATTGTATTTAATTTTCAAGTGTTGTGAAATTTTAGCTGTCATCTACTCATATTCTTTCTTATAAATTAATTTCAGCTTGTGCTTAATGCCTCAAATATTAATGTTGAGTATATGATTTTCAGGCAACTGCAGTTTTCAAGGTCTCATCCATTGCTTATAAAAGTGGGGTTCCTGTTATTGCTGATGGTGGCATTTCAAAATCTGGTCATATTGTTAAGGCTTTGTCATTGGGAGCATCCACTGTTATGATGGGAAGCTTCTTGGCTGGTAGCCTTGAGGCTCCTGGTACATATGAATATCGGGTATGAAAGTCTGATGGAATCTCGTAAATTGTCATTACCTATTTGTGCGTTAAAAGCTTTTGCCCTGGGTTATCAGCATATGTGTAGAGTGTTGTAAAGGAAACCATTTTAGAAATAGAGAGCAGGGGATGGCTGTGTGAAGCATTTAGTTAGAGGTGAGTTAATGTGATGGAAAGTAAAATCTTTACTGGTTAGAAATAGATGGCAAATGAGAAGATGATTAAAACATTATGCTTAGGTGAAAAAATGTTTTAACATTTAGCGTGGACTGTTGGATACTGATATGATGGGAAAGTATTTTGGACACAACTTCGCAATTATTATTAATGGTGCTATGCTGTTATTTAGTAGAAATCTTTGGTTGTACAAGAAACGCAAGTGTTGCATTGTTTTTTACTATTGAATTTGGCCATTTGAGCAAATTACTAACCATTTTACATGTCATATTCCTGAAATATTAGGTAATATTTTGTTTATTCTTCTAGGAACATGTTCGTTTGTAACATTTATGAAATATGCCTTTTTCTGTCTCTGTCTCTCTCTTTGTGGTTTCCTTTTCTTTCCTGCCTCTTAATTTCACTAATTTGTCAATGCCTTTTCTTTTGCTGATGAGTTATACATGCTCAAATAAAAATAAATATGGCAATAACATGCATAGCTACCTTTTCTGCACCAGAATGGTCAACGTGTCAAAAAGTATAGAGGAATGGGTTCCCTAGAAGCTATGACTAAAGGAAGTGATGCGCGGTACTTGGGTGATACAGCAAAGCTAAAAATTGCTCAGGGGGTTGTTGGAGCCGTCAAAGATAAGGGTTCTGTCTTGAATTTCATACCATACACCTTGCAAGCAGTTAGGCAAGGGTTTCAAGATATCGGTGCCTCATCACTGCAATCTGCCCATGAACTTCTAAGATCCAGGGTGTTAAGACTAGAGGTATAGTTGAGCAGTTCTAATTATTTATTTCTTGCTTTGGTTTTTAGCATTTGCTGTCAATGAAACTGCATCTTTTGCACAATCAGAAAAAGGTGATGCTATTTGTTGACCCACCGCCCATCTCCTACTGAACCCAGATCAATTTGAATTTGTTATTTTTTTGTGTTGCCCATTTAAAAGCTAGGATACTATAGTTCTCTGAAAAGAAATCCCTTGTTCTGTTTTGTTTTATATTTCATTTAAAGTGCATTGGAGTAAACTCCCAATTTGGTCCTCAAATGAGTAGCGAACATCAAATTGGTTCTCAAACCAAAATCTTTGGTCATTGAGTAATAGCAGTTTGGTCCCAGTAACAATAGCATTTTGGTCCATTGTATGTAAAATAGTGTCATTCAAGGATCAAATTTATGTCATAATCTTTAGATAGCCAATTTTTTTTCTAAATATATTTCCATGACAAAATTTATGAATGATTTTGTATTTGGTTTGCTCTTCCCAGGTTCGGACTGGAGCAGCACAGGTTGAAGGTGGAGTTCATGGGTTGGTTTCGTATGAAAAGAAATACTATTGAAGCATGAAACCATCCAAATGATAAGTTATATTGTGATCTATCGTTGCAATGGGTCGTAAAAGAAGGAAACAGACTATTATTGGATTGGAGTTTGTATCAACTATTATAACACTCATGCAATGCACTTGTTTATGAGATGAAAGCATAATTGAATAAACAGTCTGTATTCCTTGGTTAGCAATTATATTGAAGGACTCCTTACAATGGCACAATCCATAGACAATTATGACATATCCTTATAATTGTTAGAAAATTTATATTTTGTTGAAAGAATGTTGAAATTGGGTATCAAGTTTTTCACAACTAAATTAGCCGCCGTATGGTACCAGATAAGAAATTTTGATTTTCTCCCCTTCAATTGGTCTATGTATTCAAACCTCTAACAATTTTGGGGACCCAAATATAACGAAAAGGGAAAGATAAAACTTAAATAAAGTGTATTAGAAACTTAGAGCATTTTTTTGTTAATTAAAGTTAGAGTTTGTTTGAGTAATTAATGTAACAAAGGTTGCCAGTGATTTTTTTATGTATAACTAATATTTTGGTCAAACAACAGCATTAAAAATACTTACAATACTGAATTTTGTCTAAAAAGAAAAACCTAAAGAATAGGTTATCACTAAAATTGTGACTTTTTTTATAATGATTAAAACAAGAATATATTTAAGTTACACAAACAAATTGAAGCAGAGAACGTCAATTTTGCTTGGATATGCTTTCTAGTGGCACTCGATTCACGTGCTTGAATATGCATGGACTAAGCAAATAAATCGAAGGGGATAGGATTAATTTTGCTTGGATATGTCTTCATAACACTCAAAACACTAGCCAGTATAAATAATAGGACAGAATGCAGGGAGTGAATTGGCAATTAAATATTGGCCTTAAACGTCAAATATATAGTATCCACGGAACAATTTCACAGGACAATTGAAAGTATTGTACTTTTATTTTGACACCTCTGATATAAAATAAGCGTATAATATTTTAGTTTTTAAAATTTTAAAAATATTATGTTAATTTTTAACTTTTATTTTTGTTTAATATTTTAATCGTTAAACCTAAATAGAATTAATTATATGACAAAAATATTATATATGATATGATACACATTTTCATTATATTTTAATCTTAAGTATTTTAGTTTCTAAGATTATCACTGACTGATAATTATTTTAGTCTCAAAAAAACTTTTCATCTATCTATCTTTTTTCTTCTTCATTCTCCCTCACTAAAAACTACCATTACAAGTTATCGTTTGCTCAATATGTACAATCAATGTGAAGAGGTTGATGATGCTTACAAGGTATTTGATCAGATGTTGAAAAGAAATTTGGTTTCTTAGATTGTTATAGTTGTTAGGTATGTTACTATTGGGGATGTTATGGAGGCAAAACAATTATTTGATGACATGCGATAGAGAAATATGACTTCTTGAAATGGGATGGCGCATGAATTTGTGAAGGTGAGGGATTTAAGTTATGCTAAGGGCATATTTGATGTTATGCTTAAGAAGAATGTTATTTCTTTTACCACTATGATTGAGGGGTATGTAAAGACTCGTGATATATGTTTTGACTCAGGTGAGTTAATTAGTGTCCAATGACAGTGACTTTGTCACCAATAAAGAATGTAGATGGTAACTGACAATGGTATTTTTTGATGAAGAAGATTGAAGAAGAAAAAAATAGTTAGATAAAAGATTTAAGAACTAGAGAATAAAATGATAATTACTGACAATTTTGAAGATTAAAATGTCTGATAGTGATAATATTAAGGACTAAAATAAAACAAAAATACATACTATACTACATACGATATCATTTTTGTCACTTAATTAATCATAAGCATATCGTAATATGTTTACATTATGTTACTGTCTATTAACGGTATTTGAGTTTAAAGACTAAAATATCTGTTGTAAATAGAAGTTAAGAACTAATGTGTCATTTCAAAAATTTTAAAAACTAAAACGTTCAATGATTACTATCTTACATATCAAAATTAGAGTTTAGTCATTTACATCACCATAGTGAAATTGTTAAAATAAAGAAGCTTAAATGTCTTAGGATGATCATCCACCATATTGGACAATGAATGTGAAAGAATAGGAACGTGAGTTAACAAATATAATGCATGTTGCTTATACTTTTTTTAGATTATAAATGTGTTTTATAACGGATAAATTAGAAATTAAATATAAACATACTCAGTGAATTTTAACAAAATGTTTAAAAAATGACTTGGTAGGAGTATCACCAAATTCGACGTTTAATGAAAAACATAAGGATATGAACTAATGGATGTCAATATGGAATAACTAAATGTGAATATGCGCATAAATTTTAATTGATGTGTCTTATTTAAATTGGATAGGATAACATGAATGAAAAAAAGAAAAGAAAAGAAAAGTGAGATAGGGCATGTAAATTTGAGTTTGTTGAAAAGTATGTAAGTGTGTCTGCGTATTACTGTTACATATCACTTTTTGTTAGATTGTAAAGTTACTTCACAATGTGTAAGTTATGTATTTGAATATAAATCACATATAGCAAAGGGTGATGTAAAAAGTGTTTTAAATTCATCATAATAAATTTTATTGAATGATAAAAGTTTTTGTAAAAAATTATACTGTGGAAAAAAATTACTATAAAGAATTAACTGTTTGAAATATAAAAAAAATGTATCTTTTGGTGTATGATATTAGTTTCATTAATACACAGAAGACAGTTACTATAAATATATGTAAGATATGTCATGTCACTTACTTTTCTGTCATATTTTAAAAGTCCGTAAGGAATAAATTACACATTTGAATAACTTATACCAAAAGGTAATATAAAAAATTGTTTTAAATTCATCATAATATATTTTTATTGATGATAATATTTCTTGTAACAAATCACATTGAAGAAAATATTCATTAAATATGCAAATTTATATCAAGAAGACGAAGATAATTTTACAAATTTTGTTAATTTTCCTTCTACCAACCATTTAGTCAAGAAAATCAATATTGTTAGCTAAACAACTTCTTAAAAGTCTTATTTCTCTTTTAACTAATGAGTCACCAACACTTCAATATTATGCTCATACTTATTTCTTTATACCACCTCCTCCTTTTTCTTTCACTTCAATTATTACTCGTGTCATAAAAATCTTAATCTATTATTTGAAAAAGTTGAGGTTTACCTGCAATTGTGGTTTGTCTATGGGAACTCTCTATTGATTTAACTATGCAAGTTTGCATTGTGTACAAGGCACAAGTGCTTTGTGTGTGTGTGTGCAGCTAGGCTTTAGATTTCATTTACGGTGGTTGCAGTAAACTTTCAATTTGGTCCTCAAACGATTACCATCATCAAATTTGTCCAAAATTGAAAACTTTGATGATTGAGTGATGGCCATTTGGTCCTATTAGCTAGCTTTTTGACATCATAACCATCTTTGACATCAAACTATACTTGGATTCATACTGTTAAGCTAGGGAGATGCTAGTTCCCAGTGTTTTTGTTTCTCCTCAATTGGTAAATTATGGCCCATTCTATGAGCAAGACTTCCATGCAAAATGGTACTTAAAATTTCAAGTATGGTTTGAGCCTTATCAGAACAAAGGGAGAAGTCGAACAAAGAGAGAAACAGGATTTTAGATGGCACCATTATTATTTAATCTTCCATATGTGATAAAGTTAGTTGGACTTCAAAGGAGTGTTGGAAGTTTCATTTTTATGAGTTAGCAACTAATTTAAACGTATATAAGTAGGAAACTAATAAATCTAAGTTGCTTTAAGGTATTTTGTCATTAAAGTTTGATACTTGATTTTTAAGACAAACTTTAAGTAAAGAATTGTTGAAAAATTATGATTGTGCAAAAGTTGTTAAAAGTAGCTTAAAAAAAATTGAAACAAATTTATATTTGAGTTTTTTTTTTTTAAATATGAAAGTATATATCATTATATAATGGCATTTAAAAAACGGATAGGTTTGATATTTATATAAATACCAAAACATAATATAAGAAAGCGTTTTAAATTCATCCTTATATGTGTTTTATTGGATGCTAAAATTTCTTAAAATAATGCCAATATTAATCGGTAGGAATAGTATTAACAAAGGAATATAAAACATTTTATAATGCGAAATATGAAATTGTGTCTGTATATTATTCTATATATAATGCGATATTTTACTTACATTTTTGTCTGATTGTCAAGATATCCTGTAATGGATAGTTATATATTTGAAATAAATAACAAAAAAGAATATAAAAAAGTAATTTAAATTTATCCAAATATATTTAATTGAATGTAAACATTTCTTGTCAGAAATTATACTTAAGAAATATTTATTATGAAAATTTTATTTTTGTATAGTTATTATTTTATCAATGCATTGAACCATTACGATATAAATGAAACACGAATTATTACAACGTTGTTATTTAATTTTCTTTACCAATAGTCAGGAAAACCAACGTTGCCAGCTTAATAAGTTATTGACACAGTTTTGTTTTGTTTTGTTTTTATTAATTATGGAATCATTATTTAAAATAAGGATAAATTTATAGTTAAAAAAAATATAATTACAACTTTAAAATTAACCAAAAAGTGACGCTACATTGTTTTACTTTTATCACTTACCTCTTTCTTCTTTACTCTCATAATTTTTTTTCCAAGTATTACATAGAAAGCTTAATTTGGTTAAAGAGAAGCTAAGCCTCCTCTTTCTCTCCAAATTTACACACTGTTCTTGTACGTGTTTTCTCTAGATTTGCATGTAAGAATAGTTTATAAAAGCACTATTTATTTTACTTTTGTTCCACTCCTTCAAGAATAGAAGAACGAAAATTGCCCATCATAAATAGTGAGTTAATTAGATTTATAAAACACCCCAATTATTTATTTAATCCAACCTCAATTTAAGAAATTAAATTGGACTAAGTTGGTGAATTAATAAAAGATACAGGTTTTATGTGAAAATTTCTTGTGTCAAATGCCCATTATAAAAGTTTTTTTTTTCTTCTATAAAAAAAAAATTAAAATGGTTACTTTTAACCACGATGCTATTGATTATCATTTGATTTAAATTATTTTTAAATTGTTATATATATATATATATTATAATTTAAATTTTTTTATTTTTTAATCTTATTATTTAACTTTCTGTGCGTGTTTTTTTTTTTTTGGTCTTTTAACATAAATTACTGAAGC